CATGTTTTTAAAGCAGAAGCTGATTTGGAGTAAGCTCTACTATACTTATTTTCCAACAACATTCTTTTTTTTTAAACTTTCAAACCATCGTTGAACAGCTGACACAACTTTTTGGGTTTACGATTACTAATGTTCAACTCTGTAGCCTTGTAATTTTGAACCCAAACCAGAAGACACGGGAACTCCTGGATCAAATAGTAGGAGAAATTTGCCATCGTGGAGGACTTTTTGATGGAACCCACATTTGCGTTACATGGAGAGGAAAACCACAAAAACTCACACGGTTAGCCTGAAGGCAAGGGGACTTTAACCCATAATTCGTCTACCACTGAGGATACTTTACTTCAGCACTGTGGTCGGTGCAAGCTGAATGCAGAATTCGAATCGACCAGCCATTGCTGGGATACGAGCCCGGTTCACTTAATTGGAAGGCGAACGTTCTATCCCCTTAGCCGGCGGCTTCAAAAACATTCGTGTAATTAATCGAACTTCGAAAGCTTTGTAAACCTCTATTCATTTGGGCTTACTAAGTACATTTTATTTGCTTATTTTAACTATTAGCGCAAGGTAACTACTATTTGAATAAAAAAAATATTTGCATTTCAAGAAAAAGTTGAATAATTCATGTTATAGACGGGGAGTGTCGATGAAGCTTCAAAGCAGTCTAGGGTGGCGTTTAAAGCTTTTCTTATGACAAAAAACACTTAAATGACAATAAAAAATAATTAGAGCTGGAACATCTTAATGAGCTCTGTCCCCGTAGCCGTTCCGTGAGTGAATGTTGAGGGAGCCCTCTTAACTACAGGTGGCGCTGCATGGCTTATGCAACATTCATGTAGAGTTATAGATGGTATTGCAAGAATTAATCGTAAGAGCTATTGCAATCTATTTTTTAAAATGTGTTTTTTCTTTCTTAATTAAAAAAAAAATATATGAATTACAATCCAAGACGATTTAATTTTATAACTTAAATTAATGGGTTTATACAGACATTCAGCATTGATATTGCATGAAACTGATATAATTGCCAAATTATATTAAACTTTAGAGCAGACTAAGGGAACTTTTTAAAAAAAAAAGGTCAACAATCTTCTTATAAAAAAAAATTAGAAAAAAAAAAAGATCATCATTGTAAATCAAGATCTCGATAACGATTACTAATAAAGACATATCAAATGTAGAGGTAGGTAAAAAGACTATTATCAGCTAACAAGTGTAATCGAAGATTCTCCATAATGAATGAAAGATTTGCTGCAGTATCGGAGCATTTTAAACTCCTTGCATCGAGCTTAGTCGAGCTTAGAGATCATCGATTAGAGCTTTGGGTTTTTCTAAATTAGCAAAATCTATAATTGAAAACGAAATAATAAATTACTTAAATGAAAGTCAAAAAATCAAGTAACATAAATTAGAAATACTTTTACTAAGAAATGCATTCAGAATTTATGAAACTAATATTATTTCTAAGTTATTTCTGATCACAACTTCACAAATTATTTTAGAAGCATTAGGAACAATTTCAGAATGCAGAGCATTTTTCGCTATTTGAACAAAATGGGCATTTTTCGTTAGACTTAATCATTTTTTAACTTTAATTATCTTTGTTTACATAGTATTTTATTGAATTTAAGAACGACAAAGATTAAGACTAACTTGTCGGGGGATGTTACTATACGTGGAATTAACAGTGCAGTGTCTCCTAAACTTTTTTTATCAGTTTATGTTACATAACTATGACAAACAAATAATCAGTTATAAACATAATTAAAAAAATATTCAGAATATTATTTATTTTAAATATCCGATAATATCCGCTTACTCATTGTAGTAAACTAGTACATTTATTGCGTAAGCACCTGACTCGGAGAAAGGGATTTGCGATTTGCTTATTAATGACGACTAGGAGAGAGAATGGGTGTGAGAAATGCTTACGTAAAACATTGAACTATCCTTATTTTACAAAAAAAAATTTAAAAAGCAAAATTAAAAATGTAATAAAAAATTCCAGATTTGGAAGGGGAAAAAAGTTGAATTTGGAGAAAGAAAACACCAGAAAAAAATTTATTCAAAAAGTCTCAGAGGTCAAGAATTATAAACAAAATAAATCAATAAATAAAAACTCAAAATTTTGCAAAATGAATTTAAACGTTAATTTTGTTTTATGCTAAATTATATCTTTTATTTGAATGTAATCCTAAAATTAGATTGCTGTAGTGAAAGTGAAATTACTAAAAAAATAAATAAAATAATAAAAAAAACAGGGGTGTGATTTTCTCACTCAAGCATGGGAGAATTTTGATGATTTGCTTATTTTTGCTGATAAGGGGGAGCCGGAAGTTAGCAATTGCCAAAAAAAAAAAAAATGCTTACTTATTATTTGAAGGGTCCCATTATTTTTTTTAGAAATTCATACAAACTATTTATGAATATCAGTTTTGATAACAAAGACAATAGCATTAAATAAATGTGTAATAAAAAATATATACATGCAAGTCAGAGCAATCGATATTTTTTCCCTCCCTTTCGCAGATGATGTATTAGAAACATGAAACCGTTCATTACGAAAAGACAATTTCATCGTCTGAATGAATGCGAAACGATACGTAAGCACATGACTTTTTTTTAGATGGATATATATTTTGTATTTTTTTTCCCCGTTAAATCATCATCACTCAGGTACTCTAAGTAGATCTAGCATAGGATCGATTCTCACAGCCACTCCTTTGAAAAATCGATTTGCCGAAGAAAATAAGCAATGCAAATTGCACTTACTGCCTTTGGCAAAGTAATCAATATCATTTCATCCTTTACTTAAGTTAGCATCGTAACGGGATTCGTCAATTTATTCATATTGTATTTTATATTGGATATATGATTAGCTGTTCCCAAAATGAGTTTGACATTGGAAAACTAAATGCTCCATGACAAATTCGAATTCAAGAACTCGCGATAATTTTTTTTTTCGTTTAAAATCTGCATTTGAATAATGGTAAGGGATTCTTTCTTTTCTTTATTTAGGTTGGTGTATGTTTTAAGATATTAATTTATGCACGCCTGAAGTCTGAAAAGGAAAGTATCTTAAATTTATTTCGCCCACCACGTATTATTTTCCTTTTTTAACAAAGGACAATGATATGTGAAGATTATAGATAAAACCAAACCATTAAACCAAAACCTACGTTTCTGCACTTGAGTTCTTTCTTGCACGCGAAAGCATATTCCAGACTTCCAATTTAATTGACAAATATTTTAATAAACTTGCTTCGCAGCTTTGTAAGCTCAAGTTTTATGCAATTTGTATACTTAATCTCCGATAGAATACTAGGCCATTAAAAATGGCAGAAATTCAGTAAAAAAATATACATATATATAATTTTGTTCCTATTCAAAATTTTTAGCATCCATTCTATGTCAGAATATATTTATATACAAATCACACGTCGGATTCTTAATATACTATCTTTAATAACAAAATGGTGCCTCATTAGAAATGCAGTCATTTCTTAGTAGCATTTAATAAGATATTTCCGCACGACTTCTCATTAAGTCTTAACGAAGATAATGGTTGACTCAGCAATGACGTTCCATTCATATTTTAAATAAAAGAAATCCCAAGAAATAACCAAGAGCCTCATGGGAATCATTCAATAAAGGATTATATGAGATTACGAGATAACATTTTTCTGCGTCACTCAGAGAATCCAGACTGATCAATTTATTTTATCGATCTGGACCAAAGTTCTGATGTTTAATTGAAATAAGCAACATATTCAATGAATGGTTATCTCCTTTCTTCTTTCCACACTTTCTATTACGAAAAGCGTGAAGAGATGTTGCATTCTTGTTCAGAACCACGAACATATATAACTTGTTTGGATTTTCAAAAGATAATAGCTACTTGGGTCAATCCGATGTGGGATTTCCACCTTGGGAAGACGTCTTAGAATTGAAGCTCATTAAATAAAAGCATTAGTTCGAGGAAAATAAACTTATTTCGACATTCTGATAATAGTTTCTGCAAATAGTCGGATTATTTGTTTAAATACTTAAAATGTCTCATACAGCGTAGCGACTATAGAGCCATTATCATAAGATATTTCAGCTGCATGGCAACTGGATTGTTTACTTTTATTATTACATCCATTATTATAAACTTCAAAGAAAAAACACTAATAACGTATTGAGCATAACACAAAAATATATTCCTTTTTTATTTTTTTCAGATAATTCTTAGAATTAAATACAAATATTAAAGGAGTTAACTAAAAAAATTTCGTTAGATTAATATTAGAGGTGTCAAAAAATCATTTCAAATGATTTAAAAAACTTTAAGTGATCGAAAATTATTAATGCTGATAAATATTCTTCTTCTTCTTAGGCACCACAGCCGATTACCGACCAAGGCTGTCTCTGTCAATTTACTCCATCTAGGTCTATTCGAATGTATTAATATAAATAGACACAAATATAAGAAGAATCTATAAATATTAACCTTATTTAAAATATATTACTTTTTAATTAAAATTTTTTAAACAATCGGAAAAATGGGGTGTGCAATTATTAAAACCAGTAAAAAGTTTAAAAAAAATAATTATGGTAAATTTGTTACCACTAAAATTAAAATAAAAAAGTAAATAAAATAAAAACACAGATTTTTTACATTTTCAGAGTTGATTTTTCACCTTAACTCGAAATTGATAATTACTTTGTTTTTCTTAAAAACCTGCAAAAATCATGTTAATCTAAATTAAAAATTTCAGAATCTCTTACTGAAAATTCTGAATTTTTTTCCTTTATAAGTAAAATAAAAAATTTATATGCATATATTGTGGTTTTATTTTTAATACTTAACTATTTAGGTGTGGTTAATGTGTATTACTTTTTGAACATACATTCAACCTTGTTTTACTAATTCTATATTTCCCTTGTTTTAAACAAATTAGAGTTAGCGTTAAATAAAATACTAATTACATATAATCAATACAGAACTTTTAGCTTACCTTCGTAATTAGTCGTTCTAAAATCGTCACTGCAGACAGAACAACGCAGAAGTAAAGAGAATATTAAAGTGATGATACAAAACATGACTATCCCTTTAAAAAAAATACAATCTTATATTCCAAGTTCGTCACCTTCGTTTTTCCATCTTGTCCTTTTTTAAAACTCTGCCCTTTGATTTAAGTGAGTCTAAAAAAGAAGAAAGGTAATTAGAATTAACACCTTATTTCAATTGTAAGATTTTTATATCTTAAGAGTAAAAACTTATTAGCGTTCATTTCTAACTAACCTTATACGTAAAAAAAAGAAAAGGATACCAAAGATAAAAACAAAGTAATTAAATACATATTTGCCTCAATATTTAATTTCGTCTTTAATTTTGAAGTAGTATATAGTATTTCCTGACAATTAAAAAATACTTTAAAAAAAATCTTTTTCTTTTTAATTGTTAATTGGCTAAAAGAGATTGTATTTTAACACTATTACAATATAAATATAGTCTTTATAAAGTCATACAGGCACAATAACTTTAACCATAGCTTATAACATATGGTTCTATTCCAGTAGAACATAGTTTATATATATAAGGAAAAGCAAACTAAAATTACCTTCCGCGAATGAATTGCTGCAAAGAAACTTAAGGTAAAACAAGGTATTTTGGAAGAATCGCGTTTAGCATGCAATCAGCAGACAGCTTGACTTTTTGTCTGTTGCATAATAAGGGCGAAGGCTTTCCTTTTAAAAAGGCAACTACCAACAAAGGAATTTTTCTGATTTCTCAAGAAGGTTACCGACTGATTTACGAACATTTTGACTTGAGATGGAGACAAACTGCAGGTGGAAAGGGTAAAATTTAGTATTCGTTTAATGAATGTGCAAAACTTCAGAGACTTCCTTACTCGCAAATAAATACACAAAAATTATTTATTTCTACGCAAATAAATACACAAAAATTATTCATTTCTATTTTAAGTCTAATAAATTAGAACATAAATTTTACTGACTCAGTTCTTAATAAGTCATTAGCTAGTTCTGATTTATTGATTAATTTAGAAAACAAGGTTAAAAAATGAATAAACTACTAATAAAGTAAAGCAGCCCTTTTTGGATGTTAATTTAAGCCACTACAGAATTGAATATAATTATTATAAAGATGATTATTGAAAAAAAAATACTAAAATAAAAAATAAAAGAGATAAAGAAAAATATGTACGTACAAAGAAAATCGGCAATACACAAGCTGAATTTTTTAAAAATATGATTCATCTGTAAGACAGCATGCATATTAAATAATTTTGATTTTTTTAATCGATTCTTTTAATCGATGTGCAAAAACTTAAAAACTCTTCTTAGTAAAAAAAAAAAAAAAACTTAGAGGTACGTTTTAAAACAGTAGCAGCAATCTTTTTTTCATTGTTTATTTGAAAATCTGAACTCACATTTAACTGCCTGAAATGATGCGTTTAATAGTTTCGCTTGAGGTAGATCATTTTGAAATTATATATCCATCTTTTTAAGATTATTTCCCAACATTTCTCTTTCAAATTATCTTCCATTCCTGCATCACGTGAGACTACTACCATTTTGGACTTACTTAAAAGTGCTACTCATCCATTCAAGAAAAAAAAAAAAAAAAAAACGGTTCCCGATACGTCACTGATACAGTTTAAAAAAAAAGGTGGGGGGGGGGAGTTCTTGATAAAAATGCCATTGTAAATTTTATTTTATTTTTAGGAGAGATAAAAATAAAAATTCTTTAATTCATGAAAATTAAATATAGTACAAAAAATTAACTAAAAATTTGTAAAAAGATATCATTGAGATATTTCAACATAGATTTATATTTAAAATAAAGTAGGGGATATTTTTTGTAAGAATAACCAAGACTGCAAGAACACAGCCCACAATTAAAAAAAAATAATAAAGTACAAAGGAAGGCTTGTGGAGGGTGAGGGAGTGAAGGGAAATCAGACGAAGGAGTTAGTTGAGTGAAGTAATGAAGAGAGTGCCTCACCAAGGTGTTCTGTGGTGCAAACATAAATAGTAGGTGGCGTAATAAAGATTTCAGCACCACAACTCAATAACTGCCTTTTATAACATTTAACTCAGACATGTAGAAAGTCAACATTTAAAAGAAGCCCTATTTTTGAGTGCTATCAGCAAGGGGGCCGTACAAAACAGCTGTGCATAAAAATAAAAGATATGAAAGAGTCTCTTCTCAGGGGTATAAGGATAAAAATATAATTTCAAGATAGTTAGGTAATTATAGACGACGAAATAAGGGAATTCACTTCTCCACCATTCGATACATTATCATTGAGGTTTCAACAGGGTTGTTACTGGAGAAGTTATAGCACAATCTCGACGCTAATGAGCGTTTTGTTTTTATTTATGGTGTTTTTTTTTCTTCTTTATTATTCAGTGTAATGTGTGGATAGTATACGAAGAAATGGCGGTCGATTTCTGTCAACGGTATTAGTAATTAAATAGGCGAAACGTGGAAAGAACATTGTCTACTAGATGAAGGATGGAACGTTATTTCATGTAAGGAAGAAACGATTTTTGTGCAGACGAGAATGGGTCAAAAAAAAAAAAGAAGAAAGATTTCAAAGAATATTGCGACTTTAGGGGAAAGAAAAATCACATTTTCTTTCAACACTTTATGTTTTGGTACTTATTCATTAGATGAATTCGGCTACTTTATTTATTTATTTATTAATTCCTTATTACAGAACTTTTTTTGTTTACTTTCTATTTATTCAAGCAAAAAAAAATAAAAAATAGAAGAAAAACCAGTTTAATTTACTGTTTTTTATTTATTTTTTATTGGTTACTTTATAGCCCGCTCCGATGTAATAGATTTGCACCGATTTTTCTATTTGAGAAACTTTTGGCTCCGAGGTAGGGCTGTCTACAATTTCCACTATGTAAGCCGGGATGGCTCAGGGGATAGAGTGTTCGCCTTCCAATGAGATAAACCGGGTTCGAATCCCAGCGATGGCTGGTCGATACGAATTCCGCATTCGGCTTGCACCGACCACAGTGCTGACGTATAATATCCTCAATGGTAGACGGATCATGGATTAGAGAACCCTCGCCGTTAGGCTAACCACGTAACGCAGGTTTTGTGGTTTTCCTCCCCATGTAACGCAAATGCGTATTAGTTCCATCAAGAAGTCCACCACGAAGGCAAATTTCTCCCAATATTTGATCCAGGAGTACCCTTGTCTTCTAGATTGTGTTCAAAATTATAAAGCTACGGAGCTGAACATTAGCAGTTGTAAATCCGAAAAATTGGGTCGGCTGTTTAACGACGGTTATAAAATAAAAATTTACACTATTTGGACAGTCTAATGGTAAATTTTAAGTTGAAAAAATAATATGCAGCCATTTTCTTCACGAACGGTAGTACGTGTTATACCGTCGACCATTTTCGCCAACATCGCGCCATTGTTATTTTTTAATCTTTCGAATTTATTTTAATATAATAATTGATGATAAAAAAATTGAAAAAATACAAATAAAATTTTGTGGGGAAAATGAAATCCAAAAAATGAGATATTTAAATTTAAACAATTTCAAAATTTATTTTCAGTTTTGACAAAAATGGACGACGGTATAATGCATAAGTACCTAATAAACATTTTAATTTTAAACTTATAAAGATAATAAGAAATAAAATTTAAAAATAAGCTAATTATTATAAACAATGTACGCATATTTTGGAGTTTATTTTTTAATCTACAGGTAGAGATGACAGTTTAAATTTAAATATTTTTAAAATATTTAAATTTGTTACATCTAATTTATAGATTCAGATAATATAAATTGAATTCCGGGATGAAATTTCAGATTTATACAGTAAATAGTTTAAGAGATATCATCTTAATAACTAAGGAAAGCTAAAAATAATAATTCAGTTCTTTAATGATAAGGTTAAAAGTTTTTTTAAAAATATTATTCAATACAGTTCGATATCAAAATATTCATGTAAAAAAGGTTTTATAATATATTCCGACATCCCACAAAAATTGACTATTTTGATGATTGAAGGTTTGCGAGATTTTTTACTGAAATCAAAAACCGGTACAAAAAAAAAGATAAAATAAAGATTATTTAAATAAATACAGCGAATTTCGAAAATTTATTTCTTTTCTGCACCAATAAAAGTATAGAATAACAAAGCAACCTTCTTTTTTTTTTTTTTTNTTTTTTTTTTTTTTTTTTTTTTTTTTTTTTTTTTTTTTTTTTTTAATGTTTCAACATTTTCAAACTTAGCAATTTAAAAAAGTTCTAAAAAACTGTAAAAGATACTTCAGAACACCCAAGTCGAAAGTTTGATTTTAAAAGACATTGTTCTAATGTAATAGTTCTGAAAGAAGAAATATAAAAAAAAAGTGCAGAGCTGCAATCACAGGATATTGACATCAGCAATTCTGAAATCAACAGAGCGTATCCTCCATAAATTCAGTCTTCTTTTAAGATCATATTAGATATAGAAATGATATTGCATGCTCCAGCGATTTTACCATAATCGATTTACACAGAAATTATTGTTAGTTCCGTTACTACATGAGAATTCGCTGTCTTATTGTACTAAAATTATTTATTTCATTTTAAGAGGCTTTTATATTTTTTTTCACACTTGCCAAAATTATAGTTATTTTCTGGGAATTTAGGATTATAACCAGTGTAATTTGGACCACATATTACTATTAGTGAAAGCTTATAATAGAAATAGAAAGTTACTTAAATATATACATGGTAATCATTTTGCACGGAAATTTAAGTTGATCAGATAATTCAAGGGAAGTATTCATACCTATAATTTTAAATTTATTTGCTGTCTTATTATACTAAAATTACTATTAAAAAATATACCCCAGAAAAATGAAAGAGGTTTTCATATTCTTTACAGTTGTTGAAATTACAGCCGTTTCTCCAAAATATGGGATTTATGTTAAATGTAATTTAAAAAATATACTAATCTGGGTGAACTTAACATTTCGGCTCTATAATACCACATTAATAGAAAAAAGTCTGACGCATATAAAAATAATTTCACTTACACCAAAATATTTATAACTTAAAGAAAGCAAAAGTAAACACAATTTTCTTAGCTTTTGTAAACGCATTAATAACTAAATGAGTTAAAGTAATTAGATTTATAAGTTACATGAAATACTCAC